TTTGTCATGCAGCCAGCCAGATGTTTAGACTCGATTTGGCATTTTTATTATTATCGTTATGGGTAATCTACAGAGACTGTTGGAGACTTAATCATTCAAGTCCTAACCAGGAGCTATGAATTGTTTAGTTATTTATCAACCAAGTTTTGAAACCACCCAACTTCCTCACAGAGGAAATGTGTACTGGGCAGTGTGCAAATAGGATATTAAAACATAAAAACAGCATATAAAATTCAAAATGAAAAAAGAGGCAAGGATTATAATCCAATGCTAAAAATTAATTAAAAGGCAGAGGAAGGCTTCTAGGCAGTGGGGGGATTCAGCCGGTTCACACCACTTCAGCAGAACCGGTAGCTAATGTTTTGTTGCCTGGGCCCAGAATGGACTTCTGGAAGCAACATCCACACATATAACCAGTTGTTCCCATATTTGAATCCCACCACTGGTTCTAGGGTGCTCACCAGTCACTAGCTGAGTGCTCCTTTGTGTGTAAGCAAAGCTTAGGTATTATTAGGGTAGTGTCTAAAAATACAGGCAATTCCAAACAGGGTTTTGTAAAGTTAGGCTGTTGAGGTCTGATAAATTCAATATTGCCAGATATTGAGGGAGTCCTTTAGATATTGTTCCAAGAACTCCAAACACGATTGGTGTATTGATTTCTTTTCCCATAAGCATTCAACTTTGATCTACAAGTTCCCTTATTTCATAATTTTTTCAAATTGCTTTTCCTCAAAACTAGCATCACACAGTGTAGCAACATCAATGAATCAGACTTTCTTTTCAATAATTGTTATATCAGGCATGTTATGGACAAGATGCCTGTCTGTTTGGATTATAAATCCCATAGGAACCTTGATGGCACAGTGGTTAGAATGCAGTATTGCAGGTAAACTCTGCCCACTGCCAGCAGTTCAATCCTGACCAACTCAAGGTTGACTCAGCCTTCCATCATTCCCAGGTCGCTAAAATGCCCCAGATTTTGGGGGGCAATATGCTGACTCTGTAAACCACTTAGAGAGGGCTGTAAAGCACTGTGAAGCGGTATATAAATCTAAATGCTATTGCTATAAGTTCTTAACCTCCTCATTTTCCAAAGCATTCTCAATTTGATGATTATAGCCAATTTGGAAAATTAATCAAATGGTCAATTGTTTCATCCTTTTCTATAAAGACAGACATTTATTCTTGTTTGTTAAATGATGAATTTTTACTTTCATGCCATTAGTTGACAAAGCTTGCTCTTGAGCTGCTAAAATAAATTATTATTATTATTATTATTATTGATCATCGCACAGTCAGCCAGATGTTCAGACTGGATTTGGCATTTTTGTCCATCTATCGAGTCCTTCCCAAGGATCTGGGATAGGCAGATGTGGATGTTTGATGGTATTACAGATATCGTCGCAGGATGGAAGCAGTTCCTAGTAAGGCCGCCTTTTGCAATTGACTAATGGCGAATTTGTCAATGCCAATGGTGTCCAAGTGGTGCTCCAGTTGTTTTGGGATTGCACTCAAGGCACCTATTACTCTTGGTACTACCCATGCTTGCTTTTGCCACAGTCTTTCTATTTCTATTTGTAGGTCTTTGTATTTTGTTATCTTCTCCAGTTCTTTCTCATCTATTCTGCTGTCTCCAGGCACTGCCACATCCACTATCCAGACTTTTTTTGTCTTTCTTATCAACAATTGTTAAGTCCAGGGTGTTATGTTGCAGGTGCTTGTCTGTTTGAATTCTGAAGTCCCAGAGCAGTTTAATGTTATCATTTTCTATGACTTTCTCTATTTTATGATCCCACCAGTTCTTGCTTACAGGCAAATGATATTTCTTGCAGATCTTCCAGTGGACCATTGTTGCTACTTTGTCATGCCGCAACAATGGTGCATTATTATTATTATTATTATTATTATTATTATTATTATTATTATTATTATTATTATTATTAGTTTCTGAGTTAATGTTGATTCCTGGCAACTGCCTGACACACCCTTTCCATTTTGTTTGCAAGATTTCAGAAGGGCTACACCACTGTCACCTTCCCAGGGTTGAGAAAGGAGGACAGGTCCTAGGTCACCTGTAGATAACTTCATGCCTAAGGTGAGAACCAAACTCAAAAATCTTCTGCTTTCTAGTCTAACCCTAACCACTGCACTAAACTGGAAGTAAATTTGTTTGGATCCGTTGGCGAACTTTTTTGGGCATCCCGGTTAAGTCTTGCTCATGTTACCTGTGAACGGACATGGTTTATAGTCTGGACATTTAAATATGAAATTCGCATGATATCTGTCAATATCATTTGTATGATATTTGCATGATATTTCAAGCTGATGGACTTTGGCCATGGTGAAGTATGAATGAAATTGTTTCTGGCAGCTAGCACACAGAAACAATTAGTTTCTAGTTTATTGATATGCAACCGCAATCAGTATGTGTCAGCTTTTGCTATGAAAGATAAAGATGAAGCTTTGGACAAGGATCAAATTTCCATTATAATAGTAAGGGCTCATCCAATGAAGCTGACTGGAAGGAGCTTTAGAAGAAAAGTTATTTCTAAAGCAGGGGTCCTCAACCTTGGCAACTTTAAGACTTGTGGACTTCAACTCCCAGAATTCTACAAGTCTTAAAGTTGTCAAGGTTGAGGACCTCTGTTCTAAAGCACAGAGTTGACCTGTGGGTTTTGTTGTCACAAGTTGGTTGTATTGGTTATTAACATATGATGGCTTTAAAGAGGAGTGGATAACTTTAAAGAGGATGGGTCTACCAAGGCAAACACTTTGATGTAGTGGTTAAGGCATCAGGCTAAAAACCAGGAGAATGTCACTTCTAGATCCACCCATGAAGCTGACTGGGTGACCACGGTCCAGTTACTTTCTCTCAGCTCTAAGAAGGAGGCATCGGTGGTATCTAAGTGGCCCATGAATTTTAATAATAATAATGCAGAGATGGTGGCTTTGGTCACATCTTGATTTGTTGACCCCCAGAAAGCCATAGATTTATATCCGGGCATTAATAAATGAGCAGTTTGATTTTCAGTCTCTTCCTAATTATTCCAATTATATAATTGACTTTTGTTTTACAGAATTAACACACAATGATGCTTAGAAAACTTGGGGTGGGCTGACAAGGAGAGAAGGTTAAATATACGGCAATTGTTGAAGTTCAGCCAAGTGCTGACCATTAATAATAACAATCCTAATAAATAATCACTTAATAACACTGATTTTCTATCACTCAGACATAAAAACGGCTATCTCCATATTCATTTATATTAAGGCCGGTCAAATCTTTGGCAGAAAAACAAATGATTTCTGGCTATATCTTTTTTTTTTTTAACATGCAGGAAGGGAGGCGGGGGTTAGAATAATCTGCTACCAAAAATGAAACATCTGTTCTTTATTATCTCTCGCTTGTCCTCTTTGTAAAGGGATATTTCTCCACGGTGCCCGTTAATCAGCATTCCTTGAGCCGGTCATCTTTTCGATAAGTGACATCTTTACAATAATTGCATTAATGGTTCCCCAATTAATTCACCCTGCCAGGCTGATGCATGACAGAAGAACAATAGGGGGTACTTGTGTGTGAAATTGCACACAAATTTGGAAGCGACCAGCTGACAAAATCATTACGGCTGCTAGGCTGGCTGGACCTGAGGCAACACACAAAACAATGTTTGTGTTAGCTGCTGGGGTTCCATGCCAAGCCTGTTTCGTTGGTCCTGTTGTTTAGGAAGAGTCTTATTCTTATGCTAAAGCAAACGAGCAATGATTGTGATATTCGTACGACGCCAGTTATTTGCATTAGAGAGAGTACATTAACCGTATTTTATATGCCACTGATCTAAGCAACCGTTATATTGCCTAAATTGGTCCTGTAGCCAATCAAATGGGTTTCCTAGCCTACTAGCTGGTCATATTTGATGATTAAATTTCAAACACACACACACATAAGCTTACATGTAAGAATGCTGTATAAAAAGCTACTATTGTTGGTCATTGTAATGTATTCATTTAACAAATAACAGAATAAGTAATAGACTAGAATTGTTTTTGTCTACTGCAGTACCAGGCAAAGATGTTCTCTCTAGCATTTCCCCCCTTACTAGTTGATGAAAAAAAAAGAGAGAAAAGAATATATCTCAAAATAGCTTTTGAACAAGAAGATAAAGTTGGGGACATTCTCAGTATTGGGTTCTGCTGGTCTAGCACTTCAAAGTGACCAGGTGGTCAAGGCAGAGTTGTGAATGGCTTCAACCTCATTGCAGTATCTCTCACCAACCATTTGAAGCCCTCATGACTTTTGCTGCTTCTATGAAGATTTAAGGAGAACCTCAAGTGGGAACTCCTTGAACACAGAATCCCAAGGCTGGAAGGGACTTTGGGGATCTTCTAGTGTCCAACCTCCTCCTCAAGGCAGAAGACCTTATACCATCCTGGTCAAATGGTTGTCCAGTCTACTTTTGAAAATCTCCAGTAATGGAGCACCCACAACTCCAGGAGTCAAGCTGTTCTATTAATTGTTCTCACTGTCAGGTTGGATCTCTCTTTAACAAGCATCCGTCTATTGCTTCTTGACCTGCCTCTGGTGCTTTGGAGAATAAGTCAATCCCCTCTTCTCTGTGGTAGCCCTTCAAGTACAAGAAGACAGTTATCATGTTCCCCCTTAATCCTTCTCTTTGATAGGCTGGACAGACCTAATTCCCTTAATTCTTTCTAGACTCTAGAGGGATCCTACTGTCTCTGCTGGAGGGAATTCTCCCTTTGAGGAATGGTTGGAGAAGACTTTCTGCAGAAACTGTCCATACAAACTATTTAGATGCACATTTGGTGGAGAAATTTGAAAGATCAAGAGTGAACTTGCTGGTATGAGTGACTTTCTACTTCCAAATCACACTACTATTCCTACCATTCACATCACAGATGGTCCTTCAGATATCCTTTTTGCTGTGATAGCACTTTGTCTAGCCTTGCACCCCAAGAAGAAGAGGAAGAAGCTAGAGACTTACCAAGGACAACGAGTTGGATGGTGAGATTTTTATGGAGACCATGTTTCGGGTTGCTCAAATTTAGGGTAAAGTTCCCAGCATGCTTCGGTCTCACATCCCTGATGATTATCCTGTATCTCTCAGACTCTAAATCATAGCAGTCATTGCCTTTAATCTGATGGCCATCTTTGTACCTGTTTGGACCAGATAGATGGGAATGAAAAACAGCTGAGACAAAGGAATAGAGGGGATCATGTTTCAGAGAAATTTAATTTTTAAATTTTAATTTAGAGCTACATATTCTGGAAGTTCAGGACAGCTCCCTCTCCTCTCTGCCCAAGTGGGATGCTTCCCACTCATCCACGAATCAGATTGAGCCCACAGTAAATTCTCAGTACAGGTAGTCCTCGACTTACAACAATTTATTTAGTTATAACAGCACTGAAAAAAGTGACTTATGACCATTTTCACACGATTGTTGCAGCATCCCCATGATCACATGATCAAAATTCAGATGCTTGGCAACTGACTCATATCTATGACCATTGCTGTGTCCCAGGGTCACGTGATCCCCTGTTGCGACCTTCTGACAAGCAAAGTGAATGTGGAAGCCAGATTCACTTAACAACCATGTTCCTAACTTAACAACTGCGGTGATTCACTTAACAGCTGTGGCAAGAAAGGTCGTACAATGGGGCAAAACTCACTTAACAAATGTCTCACTTAGCAACAAAAGTTGGGGCTCAAAAAACAAAGCATTAAAGCTCTAATTTTTCCATGATGTATTGCAATATAAGAGAGGCAGGTTGGTCTAGTCCAGGGGTAGGCAACCTTGGCTCTTTTATGACTCGTGGACTTCAACTCCCAGAATTCCTGAACCAGCATGGCTCAGCTTGGAAACCTCTCCCTTTCCCCTCAGCATGGCTGGCTCAGGAATTCTGGGAGTTGAAGTCCACCAGTCATAAAAGAGCCAAGGTTGCCTACCCCTGTAGTTAAGGCACCAAGCTAGAAAGCAGGAGATGGTGAGTTCTAGTCCTGCCTTATCATAAAAGCCAGTTGGGTGACTTTGAGCCAATCACCAGGCGATGGTGAGTTCTAGTCCCACGTTAGCCATGAAAGCCAGCTGTGGGGTTTTGGACCAGTTCTTCTCTCTCAGCCCAACCCACCTCACAAGTTGTTGTTGTGGGGAAAATAGGAGGAGGAAGGTGTGTTGGATAATACTGTCCATCTAGATTTATTTGTAAAAATAATAAAGGTAGGATATAAATAAGATAGATAGATAGATAGATAGATAGATAGATAGATAGATAGATAGATAGATAGATAGATAGATAGATAGATAGATAGATAGATAGACAGTCAAAATTATTAAGAAGGTGGCTGTGATAGTGTCACTTATTTGTATCCTATGTGTGACTCAGCTGCCAGCTTGACTTTTCAGCTATGCACTATGGACATGGCTGAAGACTATCCATCCAAGAATTAGAGAACTGAAATCAGACTGAAATAAATTTATTCAGCATTAAACCACCGTGCTATTTGCAGTGGGGGATGGATAGGGAAGAGAAACATATCAACGCTGCAGCATAATCCATTTTTCTTTCTGCTCCTGTTGGCAAGGGATTGGAAACTGTGCTGGCAAATTTAGGGGAAAAAGAGGTTTTTAAACACTGTTTTTCCATCCTTCGGAGTTCAAGAATGGGAGAGTGGGAGGCAATGATTAGTGTCAGTTGCAGGACTCGGGAGGCATCACCATTTTGTGAGTCTGCTGGAGGCATGGAAGAGCTATGGAATTTCTTCCTAAAAATCCTAAATCTGCTTCCTTGGTCACCTTCTCTGATGCTTGTATCAACTCAGAACTCTGTTCTTAGGTAGATAAGGCCTGGAGTTTGGATATAGAATAACAGAATAACAGAGTTGGAAGGGATGAAGGCAGGAAACTAGACCATTCCAGACAAATGGCTGTCCAATCTCTTCTTAAAAGCCTCCAGTGATGGTGCACCCACAACTTCTGGATGCCAGCCATTCCACTGATTAATTGTTCTGTCAGGAAATTTCTCCTTAGTTCTAGGCTGTTTCTCTCCTTGAATAGTTTCCATCCACTGTTTCTTGTCCTGCCTTCAGGCGTTTTGGAGAATAGGTTGACCCCCTCTTCTTTGTGGCAGCCCCTCAAATATTGGTATCATGTCACCCCTAGTCCTTCTTTTCACTAGTCTATACATACTCAATTCCTGCAACCTTTCTTCATATGTTTTACCCTCCAGTCCCCTAAACATCTTTGTTGCTCTTCTCTGCACTCTTTCCAAAGTCTCAACATCTTTTCTCTAATGTGACCACCAAAACTGAATGCAATATTCCAAGTGAGGTCCTACCAAAGCATTATAAGGTGGTTTGGTTGCTGTCATTTACATAACTGATAATCTTATGCTCATGATCAGAATTGGAACCAGGATTTTCTTTGCTAAGAAAGGCAGTGTTTAAGTGAGTCACAGCTGATTATACAATATTTTTGCTATGGCTGTTAAGCAAATCATTGCGGATGTTAAGTGAATCATACAGTCATTAAGCAAATCCGGCTTCTCCCGTTGACTTTGCTTCTCGTAAACTGGCTGGGAAGGATGGAAATGGTGATCACATGACCCTGGGATGCTGCAATTGTTGTAAATGCATGCCAAGTGACAAGTGCCCAAATTCTGATCACATGACTGTGGGGATGCTGCGATGGTCATAAGTTTGAGGACTAGTCATAAACCACTTTTTTCACTACCACTGTAACTTTGATCAGTCGCTATTGAACAATTGTTAAGTTGAAGGCGACCTGCACATAAAACAGCTAACAGATTGAATGAAAACTACAGCAGTAAAAACTGACTAGGGAACATATTGAAGCTTGCTTGGTTAGTTCCTGGAAACTGTTTTCTAAGGAGCGATGAGTGTTCACGCAGAAATAGCTCAGTCTGCCAAACAGATTTCTTCCACGCTGTGGCCCTGCACATTTCATGTGATGGAAAAGAAACTGCTTTTAAAATGTTTTGCGAAGGAGAAGAACATTTTGTGAAATGGCTGAGATGAGTCACTGGATACATGCACAGAACACAGTTCTAAGTGATCTAAGACAAAAGAGGTGACACGCATATCCCGTCCTTTACTGATTTATGATCTGCAGGTTTATTGATTTATTTGTATCCCGTGTTTATTCAATTCCAAGGGAAGATGTCAGCTGGAAGGTCCTCCAGAAGAGCCATCTTAAGTCAGGAAGCAAATGCAGCCAGAGAGAAAAGATTGTAAAGGACTAGGATGGAAACAGAAGGAATGACCCTATGAATGTGGTCCTCATGAAACAATAAACTAAACTCAGGAACAATCTAGAAGAATCCTGTAGCACCCCAAATGTGTGCTGAGAAAGGAAAGCCTGTCTTGTCTTGGTAGATAGATGGATTTTGATATGAAGGTACACAAGGGGAGCTTTACTGAGTAGCATAGGGCATTGGTTAAGGGAGGGGGGCTTGGACCAAGAACATCCAGGTTGAAGCCTTCATTTATTACCAGCTCTCTCAGGGCAACCATAGATCACATTAGAGGAAATTATGTACAAATTATGCAAGATGAAAGAAAAAAAGGAAGGAAGGAAGGAGTAGAGAAAGAAGGAGGAGGAGGAAAAGGAGGAGGAGGAAGAGGAAGAGGAGGAAGAAGAAGAAGAAGAAGAAGAAGAAGAAAGAAAGAAAGAAAGAAAGAAGGAAGAAGAAGAAGAAGAAGAAGAAGAAAGAAGAAAGAAGAAAGAAGAAGAAGGAGGAGGAGGAGGAGGAGGAGGAGGAAGAAAGAAGGAGAAGGAGAAGGAGAAGAAGAAGAAGAAGAAGAAGAAGAAGAAGAAGAAGAAGAAGAAGAAGAAGAAGAAAGAAAGAAAGAAAGAAAGAAAGAAGGAAGAAGAAGAAGAAGAAAGAAGAAGAAGGAGGAGGAGGAGGAGGAGGAAGAAAGAAGGAGAAGGAGAAGGAGAAGGAGAAGAAGAAGAAGAAGAAGAAGAAGAAGAAGAAGAAGAAGAAGAAAAAATAATTGCAATCATACCACTCCCCCAAATATAAATTGTGGTGTTTAGGAGCCCCTACTTAGTGCTTACCAAGTCACAGCAGGAGGAGGGAACGCATCCACCTTCCAAGCCAGCTTCAGTACTTTTTGTCCTGCATTGGCCTCATAATACACATGTTGCCGCTTTTTTACGAAATTAATGAAAGCTTGTGCTTCAATAAACAAGAAAAAAGAATAACAGTTAACTCCTAGTTTGCTTTGCAAAACCATCACATTTTTTTTTTTGCTGGACATCAAAATAACATGTGCAAAAGATAACAAATCAGAAAAAAAAGACAACCAGGCAGATGTGAAATGGGGGGGGGGGGAAACCAAGAAAGAGAGTGGCCACGGTTACCTCTTTTTCCATATGTGTGGTGACATTTTATTAATTTGACTTTGAGGCACAGTTTGACCTGCAAGCTATTGTGAAGAAGATCCGATGTATGAAAGCAACAGGGACATTTTAGCAACACCTAAGTGAAGGGCTGGCAAAGGCAGTAATAATATACAGGCGCTATCTTTTCTGGACAGTATTTCTTTTAACTCTTGAATTAATGGTGGATTTTTTTTTCATAGCACACAATCCATTTTTTTCCCCTGACCCACAACTGGGGAATGATTAAAACATATCAATAGTACACAGCAGCAGATGGTCCATGACAATGAAAGGTGATTTCTGTTTGATTTCAGCTGTGAACAGGACAGTTTTCAAAGTGACAACACACTACGAAACATCTCTGGAATTTCTTGAAGATATTACAAGAATGAAAAGGTCTATCATTCCTTGGGGTGTACAGATAGTCCTCAACATACAACAGTTCATGACTGTTCACAGTTACAACGGCACTGAAAAAAGTGACTTATGACCATTTTTCACACTTAAGACTGTTGCAGCGTTCCCCCTGGTCATGGGATCAAGATTCTGATGCTTGGCACATATTTATGACGGTTGCAGTGTCCTGGGGTCATGTGATCCCCTTTTGCGATCTTTTGACAAGCAAAGCCAATGGAAAAGCTAGATTCACTTAACAACTGTTAGTAGCTTAACAACTGCAGTGACTCACTTAACAACTGTGGAAAGAAAGGTCATAAAATGGGGGAAAAGTTCACTTAAGAAATGTCTCACTTTGCAACAGAAATTTTGGGCTCAGTTGTGGTCATAAGTCAAGGACTACCCGTACTTTCAAGCTATACATAGGTGCAAGTTTAGAATACTGTGTGAGATTTTGCCTGGAGTCTAAAAATAAGGGTAGCATGATGGATATTGAGTCTAAACCACAGAGGAAGTGATATAAGCCAGAGTTTCTCAACCTGGGCAACTTTAAGCTGATGGACTTCAATTCCCAGAATTCCCCTGCCAGTTCCGTTGGCTGAGGAATTCTGGGAGTTGCAGTCCATACACCTTAAAGTTGCCCAGGTTGAGAACCACGGATATAAGTCATTGAGAAGTTGTTGGAAAAGAGGAAACTACTTATTTTTAGCCAGTAATGTTGACAATATTTTTTAAAAAGATAGACACAACCCAACTCCAAGCAAAGTTTCAGGGTAAGTTAACTGAGCTGAGGAAATTGTAAATGCTGAAACTGATGATGCCTCAGGTGGCTATTTTAAGTCAACACTGAGTTGAAAGGATTGTGGAGGGAGCTATATTCGTTCTGGAGGGTCTTATCAGCAAGGAGAGGTCTCCTAAAATGGTGGTGCCAACAGACTAGAAACATATCAGTTTGCAGAAAAGTGGCATATTTCTCTTTGGTTCTCCCATTTTTGAGGTCATTTCTTACTGAATATTGTGACTGTAGTGTTGATTTCAATGCCTCCTTCACCCTTACTGATCACTTTGCAAATGTAATATCCTTTGTCTTCTATTGTAACATTCGTGATAGTCACTTTACTAGAGGCTTTGTACACGGATTGACTCTGGTCAAAATTCTTTTGTATCCTTACTTCCTAGAAGAGAAAAAGAGAGAAGCAGAGAAAAATTTGCACTGAGCTCAGTTCAAAATCCCCCAAATAAAAAGCCGTAATGGGGAATATTGTGGTATCTTTTGCTAGATGCCTGTACGGTAGGCTTGATGGGAGTAGATGTCAAGAGTCTTAGAAAGTGACTAGAGCAGGGGTCCCCAACCCCCAGTCCTTGCCCCAGCACCGGACCGCGGAATGCCAGAAACCAGGCTGTGCAAACAAGGGAAGCCCCATCCACGGGATGCAGGCGGCACGGAAACCACGCCCACTCCAGTCTGCGGAAAAACCTCTCTCCATGGAACTGGCCCCTGGTGCCCCAAAGATTGGGGGCCACTGGACTGGGGGGGGGCTTCTTTCCAAAATGGGACAACTTGCCACAGCCAACTCGCTGTGGTCAACTCACCACAGCAGCTTTCCATGGGACAACTCACCGCGAGACAATTCAACAATTCAATTTAATTATTTAAAATAATTTAAAACATATTTTAATTTGTGCTATTCACATTTTATTTTGTCCCTCCTTTTGCATTCTTTCTTTAACGATTCCATTTTACCATTTCTTTGATATCAGTGTCGTGGAAAAACCCAATGGAAAAGACAAGAGACAGCAACACAAAACAATAATTCTTACTTTAAGATTCAGAGGTTTATTTTGCTAATAATTTGGAACATAGCAAGCATAATAACACAACATCACTTACTGTACATTAATAACCCACTGCAATGAGGACCATATGGTATAGCAGATCCCAAAAGGACAGCTATAGGCCAATGGCAAATCAATCAGGTCCAGTCCCAACCCTTTATACTCTTTCTCATTCTAAAACTGTAGTCAGATGGTCTGCTGACTTTTGCTGACTTCTGCTGACCTCCTGCTACCCGTGTATGTTGGAACCCGCATCCATCAGCTACTTTCAATTCCTCTTTTCCCACAATTACAATACTCATGTTCCAAATATACACAGAACTACTATTTTGCAATTTCATATTGTACAAAGCTCAGCAGATTACAAATAATACGTCCTTATTGAGAAACAGCATAAAGTTCAAGTTAAAGCTTCAAATCACTTCTGTGGCGGCTTATTTCAGGTTTGTTCTAGCCCTATCTTATTATTTGAGAAGGGGGCTATATTTTTATCTCCCACATTAGTATAACTTGTTCCACAGCGAGTTGTCCCACAGTAAATTGGCTGTGATGTGTTGGCTGTGGTGAGTTGTCCTGGACTCCCTTCTTTCTGTTTTAGTGCTTAAAACAGGGGTCTCCAACCTGTGGGCCACTCCCACTACTGGGCCATGGCCTCCTGGCCACCAGGCCATGAGACAGGCTAATCAGTGCACACATGTGTGTGCGTGCACTTACCCCACTAGTGCTAGCGCCGTGGCTGTGGTGTGGCAAAAACAAGGTGCGGGGTGGTGAAAATGGGGCACGGGGTGGCGAAAACGGGCCATGGTGAAAATGGGGCAGGGCTAGCAGATGTCATGTGGATACTAGCCCCGCCCCATTTGCATCGCGCACGTGCTTGCGGCCTTGTTTGTGCGCATAACAGCTTTCCTCTCCCTTTCCCTCCGGTCCGCCAACCGAGAAAGATTGGAGACCTCTGGCTTAAAAGACTATACCACCAAGTCCTTCAAGAAGTAATTTTCTTTTCTGGGGTTTTATGGATCAGACAAGACTGAGAAATCCCTTAGGACAATCCAGGAGTTATTTCAAAAAGAGATTCCCTCCTTTCAAGTGTTCTGCACTGCCACAAACATTTTGATCTGTTTTTCTAACTTTAAAATGTAGTGTTTGTTTAGGGGTTATTAATCATTCTTTCCATGCTAATTTATATGGAACCAAGCATTTCCAATAGAGCTATGCTGATGTACAGGTAGTCCTCAACTTATGACAGTTCATTTAGTGACTGTTCGAAGTTACAGCAACACTGAAAAAAGTGACTTATGACCGCTTTTCACACTTACGACTGTTGCAGCCTCTCCATGACCATGTGATCAAAATTCAGACACTTGGCAACTGACTCCTATTTATGACGGTTGCAGTGTTTGGGGTCATGTGATCCCCTTTTGCGACCTTTTGACAAGCAAAGTCAATGGAGAAGCTGGATTCACGTAACAACTTCAGTGATTTACTTAACAACTGTTGCAAGAATGGTCGTAAACAGGGGCAAAACTCTCTTAGGAAATCTCAAATTTTGGGCTCAATTGTGCTCATAAGTCGAGGACTGCCCCTTAGTCCACAAAGGGCAATTGAATGGTTATTTAAGAAAGCTAACAAACATTCAGCAGATCCTTTTCTGAAGAACCAAGGAAACAAATCTTCAAAAAAGAGAAGCACACTTTGAGTAGGCCAAGGCCTTCCCTCAACTAAGAAAGTCACTGAAATGACTCACCCTCTTTCTTGGGAATGTCCATTTAAATTCTAACCGTCCACCCCAGTATGTCTGCCCTTTGCATTCCAAGTTAAGGGTTTCTCCAACCAAGAGTTTTTTGGGAGTTGCTTTCACATCCACATTCCAAATGCGTTCCTCTAAAAGAAATAAGAAAGTCAGCAATCAAGCATCTACTCCAGCAACATTGAGGATTACATACAGAATATACATGTTTGATAGCTCTTCACTCGTATCTTTTAATGGGGAGCATCTAATACAGGGGTCTTCAAACTTGGCCCTTTTATGATTTGTGGGCTTCAACTCCCAGAATTCCTCAGCCAGGGAGTTGAAATCTACAAGTCGATAAAAGGGTCAGGTTTGAAGACCCCTGATCTAATACAAGCATTTGGTAGAACTTTGAGGAGTGTTTATAATCCATTTAATTTCCGTAACTGGAATCAGGTGGAGTGCAGAATATAGTCCAGCACAGTGGTGGGATTCAGCCAGTTTGCACCACTTTGGCAGAACCGGTAGCTAATCTTTTGTTGCCCAGGCCCAGAATGGACTTCCGGAAGCGGCATCCACACAGAGAACCGATTGTTCACCTATTTGAATCTCACCACTGGTCCAGCAGTGGAAAATTGTGTCTAAAAGGAATGTTTTCAGCACCTAAAGCAAAAGCAGTCAGGTACTCACCCATTCTCAGGGTCAAGTAATATGTTTCATATTGCATCTCGTTGATTGTAACAACACACTTGATCATTTTAGCAAAGAACTCAGTGGAGGGTGAAGTGATAATGAATCCTTTCTTTGGGTCCCATTCCTTCTTCTCATAGGTGAGAGGGTTGGAGGATTGATGCTAAAGAAGAAAAAGCAAACATAAAGATAGTACTTTTTGTTTGAGATAAAGCTACAGAAGATATAATTAAGATAAATCTACAGTAGATATAATTAAGATAAAGCTACAGTGGATATAATTAAGAAGCGTTCAAGCTGTTTTGATCTTGAAATGTCCCTAACCAGAGCTGTCCTGTTCTAATCTTGAGGGAGACATTCTAAGGCCCATTCCAGTTTTTCTGAAAATGTTTAGACATCAGATGTGCCTCTCACAGACTTACTAGAAGTGGCCCAGCATCAAAACAGGCAATTTTGAACTCCATTCAGCATTTGGAATGGGGTCTTTGGGATCATTTATTTATTCTGGCAATGTCAGAACATCATCTTCCCAAAGATGGGAGGCTGCAAAATCTCTAATTGTAGGAGAAGGAGGAGCTGAATCTGAGGTCAGAGTTAAAAGAGGGATCAGTCTAGAATCCCTATGTAGCCACAGGAGGATTAAGTCCAACTTCCCTTGAATTTCATTGACTCTTATCTAGTTCCAAACAAGCGCTATCTCATACATGAAGGTGAATATATGTGTCCCGGGATAATGTTGCAGGATCCAACCTGGGTCAGTCACTGGGACCAAAGGTTTAGTCTTCCAAGCTTTCGGACTGGTGCTGGACCCATCCTCAGGGAACTTTTCTCTACCAGAATGTCTTCATGGGCTCCAGCATGAGTCCAAAAGCTCGGAAGACTAAACCTCTGATCCCAGTGACTGACCCAGAATGGTTCCTGCAAGTGTTAACCATGAGTTGAGAATATTCCTGTGCATAGGCATGATGTCATGGTTCCGACAGACAGAGATGAATAAAGCAGAACTCCGAGGTTTGCAAAATCCTCAAAGAACATGTTTATTAGTTGCAAAGTATCGGCACGGTCAAAAGTGAAACCAAGTCTGGATACACATGTAACAATTCCCCAATACAAAGTTAAAAGTCTCACCCATAATACTATGCAAGCAACTACGTTCCCCAATGTGATTATTCGGTGGGCTTTTTGCGTTACGCCCAGCCTGCAGTCTCGGGAGCAGCCACTGACCTTGGTTCCCACAGGACAAAAGATTATTTTGAGTAACGAAGCAACTGGGCAACCCCCCTCCCTCTGCTCTATGTGGCAACCTAGAATGAGAAGTAAAATGGCTGCAGCCATGCTCATTTGTAGAGTTGACACAGGAATAGCAACAAATCTGTTTAACTGGACCTTCACATGAGGACCAGGTCTTTTATGCTTGATATGAGTTCAGTTCTGTTCAGACTCATCTCTTGTCTCTATTTCTTCACTTAAGGAGCAATAAATCACTCATTGTAGTTCTCCAATTCAATCACTGTCATCTTCAAATACAACCTCAGAGATTCTGCCTGAGATTCTGTACTGACTCGACTGTTGCCAGTCAAAGTCAAGAACACTGAATTATATACCAACTAATGGATCAAATCAGTGGCTCTGTTTGTCCAATACATCATAAACATAAACTAACCCAGTGTTTCTCAACTTTGGCCATTTTAAGTTGGGTAGACTTCAACTCCCAGAATCACCACGGTTAAGTGCAGTGTGCAATACTGTTATCATAAGCTAGCTAGCTATGATCTGAATCTATATTACTTATTTTGGGCCTCATACCTTATTTCAAGAGAGAGTTATTTCAAGAGAGAGTTTTAAAGGCATATGCAGAGTAGCTAAGTAAAAAGATAAATTTAAGCAGCCAAGGATTCTGTGATAGTTTTTGGTTAACAGCAAAAAAAGGAGAAGAGGAAGAACTTCCGGGCGGACCTGCATAGTAGATATCTATCCTAACTTCACCATCCTCATTGATTTTGGTTGGTGGCATGGTGAATAGTCAGTCTTCAAGTTAGTCATTAGAACATAGCCATTCTGGCTTATAAACCATGATTTTTAGCTTAGTGCAGGGGTCTCCAAACTTCACAATTTTCAGACTTGTGGACTTCAACTCCCAGAATTCTGGAAGTTGAAGTCCACAAGTCTTAACGTTGCCAAGTTTAGAGACCCCTGGCTTAGTGTAACAATTGTTATTTCCTTTTCCAGGATGACAATCTGCTATGAACTACAGGTTGCGTGTGTATCTGGTTCTTGTACAAGCATCTCCACTGCATCTTGCAAAATCTTGCCTAGATAGACAAGTATTCTATGTTCCTGGAACAAAAAGCAGATAGGTAGCTCCTCCTCAACAGGAAGGGCTATCAGTCAGTTTCCTGTTCCAGCTGATTTGGGCTGGAACAGCAAGGATATCTGGAATCCTGCCAAGTCCCTCTGTAGTTTGGCGTGCTTCACTTCTCACTTCCAGGGTCCTCCTCCATCCTGACTTGTCCTTCATGCCCTATTATGAACTTTGTCTCTATACCTACAAGGTCCAATCATGCTGCCCAAAAACTACGGATGTCACCATCACTGAGACCTGTTCTTCCAACTTGTATCCTATATAATTCCCTGCTTTCAGCCTGGAAAAGACAACATGGGATGGTGCTTCATGTTAAGCCAAACTATTCATTCTCCTATGTTGGCTGCAGCACCATTTTAGATAGGTTATTCCTAGTTTTCAGTCAGAAGGAACATCTAGTGGATCATGTTGAAAAAGATGAATTCGGTATCCCAAAATGGGCTGGAGTTAGCAGCATTAAAATGGAACACACTTTGGAAAATGAAAAAGATCCATGATCCTGTGATGGAAACTCCACCCCTTTCTATAGGCAACTCAGATAAAAATTGGGGAAGGGTTTTTGATATTGTGAGCCTTCTTGATTTATTTATTTTTTAGTTCTTTTCCCATTCTCTTCCCTGCTCCAATGAATCCTTTTTCTGTATTAATAGCATTTATTGGCAAAGTGTCATGGCAGGTTAGGGCAAACTTAGATGATTCTGAACAGTCCTAATTTCCTTTCTGAGGTTTTCTCAGGCCCCACAGGGAGGGAAAGCCCACACAAAATTTATTCCACATTAATTTTACATATATAGTGTGTATATATATATATTGTGTGTATATTCAAAAGCCTGAATTTCAAGTCCAGCTCCAGAACTAATCAGAATCAGCTGACATGAGGAATGAGCTTCTTCCTAACATTAGCAACCCATCGAACTTCCCATAAATATCTAAGGAGGACAGAGTGCAGTCATTTTAAAGTATAATGGAAGCATCAGAAATGTAATTTAGAAGGGGGAAAGTATATTGTTTCAGGAATTGTGGAACAGAATGGTGCTGCATATTAAAACTCTGCATTTGAGGATCCCCTGAGGATCAGATTTAAAATATATACCTACAGAAATACTGCATATAGATATGATAGATATAGATTCACGCGCACACACCCGTATTCCACATATTAAATGAAGTTGCTTGTGCAACATTCAAAAGTTGTTATGAAAGGAGAAGAGGAAACCGCAGTTGATTTTACCCCAATCTTCAAAAGACCCCTGGTGCTATTTTTCTCCCTCGCCTTCCTGCAGTTTTATCACTGAGCAGTTATTAAATTTGGAGGAGGATGTTCTAAATTTGTCAAATTGTCGGGCTCCTTCCTTCCCTCTCCCCCCCCTTTAGTTTCCTGTGAGTAAAGGAAGCCGCCAACCTGGCTCCACACGTCGTATTTCCAGACAAGGCCAAAATAACAAGCCGTCTTTCCTTAAATGGGAACAGAAAGATGGGTGCCCAAGGTAAACACACCTCCGCAGAAAGCCTTATCTGCTCTTCTGGAGAGGTCTGTCAAGCCAGGGGAAGAGACACCTTCCTTTTGGGGGTCTGAATGTCAGCCTCCCCCACCCCTTATGTCTCTTTCAAAGGAGGAAGAACAAAGTCTTTGGTCCAGACATCCCAGCAGCCCGAAATGGAAACATCTACCCATCCTTCTGAAAGTCTAGGATGAGATCCCAGTTCAAGACCAAGCAACAGATGGAAAAAGTTTGACTCAGCTTCCAGAGATGGGAAAGATCAGAAATCAGGCATCTGAACTCCTCGCCCTTTCCTCAAGGAGACGTTATCTTCAGGTTTCAGAGAGGCTGCTAGGCGGGTATTAATTCTCTATACATTTCAACAAAAGTCAACAGAGACGTTAAGCCAACACTTACAGGAAGCCAAAGCTCTTGCTACACCAGCCAAGAAGGAGAGAGAAGGGAAAAAAAGAGAGAGTCAAGAATGGGTTTAATTTCAATATTATGAAAATGTGTGGGCATGTGTGTGTGTGTGTGTGTGTATGTATGTGTGTTTTGGACCGAGTACTTTATGGAGGGAAGTTGCTCTCTTCATAAAAAAAAAAGTAACCTTCACCTCAACATTAAAATTAAAGAAGTTTCCCATTCTTGGCAAATTTTATTATTTTGGCAGCTACTAAATGTTATGAATAAGATGCCTCCACTGTTATCCATCAAACACTACCAAATCCCACTGCCTGTTTAGTTCTACTAGAGCAGTGATTCCCAACCTTTTCTATACCCCGTGCCCCTATAACAGGGGTAGGCAACCTTGGCTCTTTTATGACTTGTGGACTTCAACTCCCAGAATTCCTGAGCCAGCCGTGCTGAGGGGAAAGGGAGAGGTTTCCAAGCTGAGCCGTGCTGGCTCAGGAATTCTGGGAGTTGAAGTCCACAAGTCCTAAAAGGGCCAAGGTTGCCTACCCCTGCCCTAGAACACTTCTGATATATTCTCGCACCCCTTACAAAAGTTCGAAATAATGGCAAAAAATTATGCATATAAACTATAATTTTGAAAATCCAAGTTTTCGCACTCCCTGGAATATCATCTCGTACCCCCAGGGGGTTTGAGCACCCCTGGTTGGAAACCCCTGTCCTAGAGCACCAAATACCATCCCATAACAACTCTAAAACCTATGGTAAATACCGACAATCAAACACTGAGACAAAATGACCATTATTAGTCTGTATTCAAGACTTTGAGACTGGCCGAAGATAATTTAATATCAAAAAATAGCTACTAAGAAGCCAGGGGTGACTTCTGGGGAAAAAAATCTGCCCCATGAAAAGAGTATGAAGCAACTTAATAGACATAATTATACTCTTTGATAGAGTATAGTATTCCACTTATTTGTCAGCTATTTTACTCCAGAGAAAGAGTGGCCTGTGAGTTAAATCTACATGACAGCAGCAAACTCAGGTATGATAGGACAAATTTTATGGTGGTCTTCCTAAACCTGTTCCATTGCTGGAGGCAGAGAAAGGGCTACAGATGTACAGCAGCATTTTTTGTTATGTATATTTGCATCACTTTGAAACTTCCCAGGTTGCCCATGCATCCAGTCTGAAAAAACCTCGTGAGGTCTTCTGTTGAGATTGGAAGAAAGGGGAGTGGAAGCCAGGGAAGCTGTAGGCCACTGAGAGGACAGTACAACAAAAGGAAGGACAATCACACACAACCCTTAGAATCATAGAATTATAGGACTGGAAGGAAACTTTGAGGTCTTCTAATCCATCCTCCTCCCCAAGGCAGGAGTCCTTATACTATCCTGGACAAATGGTTGTCCAATCTTGTCTCAAAAACCTCCAGTGATGGAGCAGTCACCAGGAGGCAATCTGTTCCACTGATTTAATGGTTCTCACTATCAGGAAATTCCTCCTTAGTTGGATCTCCCTCTGATGAGCTTCCACTCATTGCTTCTGGTCCGGTCCTCAGATGCTTTGAAGGACAAATCAACCCCGACTTCTTTGCGATTGCCACTCAAGTATTGGAAGACTGCTATCATGTCATCCCTCATCTTTCCCTTCATTAGGCTGGACATACCTAGTTCTGAGGGGTCCTTGGTGCTCTCTGAGCTTGCTTGTTTTCTTGCAGACATTTCATTACCCTAACTAGGTAACATCATCAGCACTAGAAGGGAGTAGGGTTTGGAATGATGGAGGAGGAGGAGGAGGAGGATAGCAACTGTGGGGTCCTTGGTGCTCTCTGAGCTTGCTTGTTTTCTTGCAGATGTTTCATTACCCTAACTAGGTAATTTCATCAGTGCTAACAGTGCTATCTCAGAGAGCACCAAGGACTCCGCATTTCAACCCTAAGCTACCAATATTCCCCTTCATTGATACCCAGTTCCCTTAACTGTTCATTGTATAAGAAAGTCTAACTTCCTCTTATTATCTGTGTTGCTCTTCTCTGCATGCATCCTAGCATCTCAGTATCTTTTGTGTATCATGGTGATCAGAACTGGATGCAATATTCCAAGTGTGGCCTCACTAGTGCAGTATGAAGAAGTACTATCCCCTCCTGTGATCTTGATGCTATCCCTCTGTTGATACAGTCTCGGACCGTGTTGGCTTTTTTGGCAGCTGCAACACCCTTATGGCTCATACTTAAGCGGTGTTCCTCCAAGACATCTAGATCAGGAGTCCCCAACCCCGGTCCGTGCACCGGTACTGGGCCACGGCATGCCAGCAACCGGTCTGCACAAACAAGCAAAGCTCCTTCCATGGGATGCAGGCAGCAGACAAAACCACACCCCCTCCAGTCCATGGAAAAACCTCTCTCCACGGAACCAGTCCCTGATGCTCAAAAGGTTGGGGACCTCTGATCTAGATCCATTTCACAGGCATTAGTAGCTTTATAACAAAGAACTGAAACAATATTGTTCTCCACTCTCAAGAATGTCACCCAAGTTCTATCCTTCTTTAAAAGAAAATTTGAAAGCAGCTTCTATTAAGTGAGAACCAACAGGGGGAAAAAAAGGAAGAATTTTTCCACATGGCCTAAAATTAAAGCTACCTCCTCTTAGGGGTGGTGCCCTGTATTAACTGCCATAAAACAATTCTGCTTCTCCATCTTCTCCATCTACTTTTCAACAAGCCCAGCTAAGGGAACAAGAGCCGTATTCTACCTGCCACTTTTCAAGAGTACCCAGAAAATTAACCAAAGCCATCTGGAAATCCTAATTTGGAGCAAATTTAGGATTTTGCTTCAGCCAGGATTCTGGGTGACACGGATCCTTTCTGGAACAAATTCCAGCAAATGTTCTTTTAGCAGGGAAAAAATAAAAAATAAATAGGAATTGTACTTATCTAAGAAATTCTTCAAGAGATGTCCAATGTATATAATCTTCCTTTTGGTATAGTGTTTAAAATGCCTGATTCTCATGTAGAAGACATGGGCACTTTAAAGAGTATAGGGTTCTTTTCCAAAATGGTCTGAACCAGAGTTGAAATTTGCTAGTTTGAAAATCTATGGCTAAAAGTGGCCCATTACTGAGCAAATTAATCCTCATTTGATGATTTATCAATAGTTACCCTTGAAAGCTAACCTATTTGATGAAGGTTGGAGAAGATTCAGAAATAGAATAGAATTAGAATTAGAATAGAATAACAGAGTGGGAAGGGAGCTTGCAGGTCATCTAGTCCAACCCCCCCACCCAAGCTAGGAGACCCTACACCATTTCTAACAGGGCAGTCCAGTCTCTTATTGAAAGCTTCCGTATAAATAAACTATGACAATGTAATGCTCACCACCAGCAGCTCCGGTTTGATCTCTGGTGAGGTGACGCGACAGGGCACGTTGATCACATCTGTATGGTTGTACACCTTGATGAGGTCTGCGTATTTTGGGTGGGGTTGCACAAAAGGCTGTGACTGATCTGCAGGACACAAAAATGGAACATCACAAGCGTGCTGAGAAGCAACAGGGTTGGGTTGCTTGGTAGAAATGACCTGCTATTCATCCTTAATTTTTACACCAAAAGTAGAGTAGATTAACAGATTCTGATTCTAACTTAGATCAGCTGTTGAAGCTGAGTCAGTCCTTTTGGGAAGAAAACTTTGGCAAAGTCAGATTCACCCTTTGTCAACCCAAATATGACACTGTACCCTAACCTTTCTCAGCTGAAAATAGCATCTGAAACCGTGGAGATATCATGCTAGGAAATTGATAAATGCAACTCAGGTCTTCAAGGAATGTTATTTGAAGACACAATGATCCTTTCTTTGGAGACATCTGGAACTTTATCCCAATGTCCAAGAAAAGAAAATAGCAGTGATAGAACCAGCATATCAGCACAACAGGAAGACTTGTTTTTCACATAGGTGTTGTTATTGCAAAAAGACAATCATGTTTTCAGCATCTACATTGCTGGACAGTTCCCTGATGCAACTTTTCAGGGAAGCTTTGTCTGTTAGGGCAAGAAACTACTCTGAGGGATTCTTGGTGCTCTTGAGCTTTAGTTTTTTTTTCTTGCAGATATTTCATTACCCAAACTAGGTAACATCATCAGACGATATTCCCTAGTTTGGCAATGAAACATCTGGAAGAAAACAACCAAGCTCAGAGAGCACTAAGGACCCCTCATTTCCACTCTGAGCTACAAATAGAGTAGAATCCTTTATTTGGCCAAGTGTGATTAGACACACAAGGAATTTGTCTCTGATGCAGAAGCCCTCCATGTACATGCAAAACAACAGAGTATAATAATCATAATAATGATACCAATAAGAGGGGGTAGTAGACTAGACTAGACTAGACTAGACTAGACTAGACTAGACTAGACTAGAATAGAATAGAATAGAATAGAATAGAATAGAATAGAATAGACAGATTGTAGAATAGAACAGAACATAACAGAATAGAATAGACAGATTGTAGAATAGAATAGAATAGAATAGAATAGAATAGAATAGAATAGAATAGAATAGAATAGAATAGATTGTAGGATAGAATAGAATAGAATAAAAATAGAATAGAATAGAATTAGAATAGAATAGAATAGAATAGAATAGAATTAGAATAGAATAGAATAGAATAGAATAGAATAGAATAGACAGATTGTAGAACAGAATAGAATAGAATTAGAGTAGAGTAGAGTAGAGTAGAGTAGAGTAGAGTAGAGTAGAACAGAATAGAACAGAACAGAGTAGAGTAGAGTAGAGTAGAGTAGAGTAGAACAGAACAGAACAGAACAGAACAGAACAGAACAGAATAGAATAGAATAACAGAGTTGGAAGGGACCTTGCAGGTCATTTAGTCCAACCCTCGGCCCAAGCAGGAGACCCTACACCATTTCTGATAGATGGCAGTCCAGTCTCTTCTTGAAAGCCTTCAGTGATGAAGCTCCCACAACTTCTGAAGGCATAGTAGCAATACAGTCCTACTACATGGGTAAATCTCCTTCAGCGTAAGACAGTTCTGTGGGAATTAGGTGTTTAGCAGAGTGATGGCATGAGGGGAAAAAAACTATCCCTGTCTCTAGTTGTTTTGGCATCCAGTGCCCTATAGCAATGTCCCAAGGGGATGAGTTGAAACAGTTTATGTCCAGAATGTGAGGGATCTGTAGATATTTTCTCAGCCCTCTTTCTGAGCTTTGCAGTATACAGGTCCTCGATGGAAGAAGGCAGGCTGCTTGCAATGTTTTTTTTTTCTGCAGACCTAACTATCTGTACCTGTCTGTACCAGTCCAGTTTGGTTGCGTACCAAACCAGACAGTTATAGAAGTACAAATAACAGACTCAGCAATTCCTATTTGAACTCTATCAGCAGCTCCTTGGGCAATCTGAGCGTTCTGAGTTGATACAAGAAGAACATCTTTGTTGTGCCTTTTTAATGATGGTTTTAATGTTAAGCACCCATTTCAAGCCCTGGGAGAATATAGAACAGTGGTGGCGAACCTATGGCAAGGGTGCCAGAGGCGGCACTCAGAGCCCTCTCTGTGGGCATGCGCGCCGTCGCCCCAGTCCTAGGCCTTCAGCTGGGTTTTATAAAACCTTTTCGCTTTAGGCCTCCACCACCGTGTGCAAAAAAAAAAAAAAAAAAAGTTCAATCAGTCGATTTCAACTTCTCGCGGGAAAAAAAAAGATCTTGCAAAGTTGGAATTGATTGATTGAATTTTTTAGTCCCACCCAGTCTGCCATTACCACCTCAGCCACGCCCACCCAATGGGCCACACCCACCCAATGGGCCACACCCACCTGGCACCTGATGATGCATAAGTGGGGTTTGGGTTGCAGTTTGGGCACTCGGTCTCTAAAAGGTTCGCCATCACTGATATAGAACCTCAAAACTTGAAAGATTCTACTGCTGTTACTGTGCTATATATAGTATAATATAGTAAGAGGTGGTAGAACTGGATGGCTCTTCTTAAATATTCTCCATCCCAGCTTTCCTCAACTTGGTGCCTTCCAGATATGTGGACATCAACTCTCATCAGCCACAGCCAGTGCACCCAAGCTGAGAAATATATGTTATCGTCATTGTTTTGGTTACCAGGAATCACATTTCTCATGGGTGAGGAGTAAGAATTGCAGCAGGTGGGACTGACAAGGACACCCCATTGTCTTTCTACCCCTTTGTTTTTAAAACCAGGTTAGCCCATGTAATGGCTTACACTCTATCTTAGGGCCTCCCTCCTTAAAGTGGAGAATGCCAGCAACTTTTGGCAATTGCGCTCATGAAATTCATGATGCTGTCAAAAGGGTTCGCAGAGCTAAAAAAAATAAAAGGCAGTGCATGCCTGGGTTGCACTATTCTTCAGTTTGGCTTTCTGCCTAGCAAGATAATCTACAATTATGAGTTGGTAAAGACAGGAACATTTTTTGGTGAATGTCAATTATCCTGGGCTCGTGTTTCTCAATCGTAGCTATGCTGGCAAGGGGATTTTGGGAGCTGAAGTCCACTCCATACTGGATGGGGAATTCTGGGAGTTGAAGTCCACCCCATGCTGGTGGGGGAATTCTGGGCGTTGACATCCACTCGTGCTGGATGGGGGATTCTGGGAGTGCCTAAGGTTGAGAAACACTGGCCTAGGGCATTTGGTTTGGCATTCCCATATGAGACTCCTTAGAAGCAGCATGTAGGGATCATAATTTTGCTGTAGTCTGTATTTTTAAAGTTAGTTCTTGATGATGGAAGAGAGACAGCAAACAAACAAACTGGAGCAAGTCATTAAGGCTGGTCCACAATCGCAAAAAAATCTCCTTCTCACCACTTGAGGGCGCAGTTAAGGTGACTTTACACAGCATCCAAGTACTTCTCTCGCGAAGGGAACTTTACAAATGGTCAGTTCACTTTTACATGCAGGCCCCGGGAAATGTGGGGTGGGGGCAGTGGTGGGATTCAGCCGGTTCGCACCACTTTGGCAGAACTGGTAGCTAATTTTTTGTTGCCCAGGCCCAGAACGGACTTTTGGAAGCGGCATCCACACAGAGAACTGGTTGTTCACATATTTGAATCCCACCACTGGGTGGGGGTGGGGAAACAGGAGATCGAAAGACAGCTGTTATTGAAAAAAGTGAAGCCATCAACCCCACCTACTCCTTTTCATTTAATTCATGGGTGTATATAATGTGCAGGGAAGGAAAGGAAAGGAGAAAGGAAAGGAAAAGAAAGAAAGTACATGAATGAAAAAGGAAAGGAAAGGAAGGGAAAGGAAAGGAAAGGAAGTAAATGAATGAAAAAGGAAAGGAAAGGAAAGGAAGGGAAAGGAAAGGGGAAAGGAAAGGAAAAGAAAGAAAGTACATGAATGAAAAAGGAAAGGAAAGGAAAAGAAAGGAAAGGAAAGGAAAGGAAAGGAAAGGAAGTAAATGAATGAAAAAGGAAAGGAAAGGAAGGGAAAGGAAAGGAAAGGAGAAAGGAAAGGAAAAG